TAAGACTAGACTTTGCTTTTCTACGAATGTGAACTAAAGTATACATTTAACCTTAGTTTTTTCTTTAGAATTTGAACAAACAAATAACCTTAGGAAATACCCTGGAGCTCTTGTTCACCATAAAAGAGTAATGAAAGATACCTATAATGAGGCAGTGGATAAAGTCAAAGAAAAGTTGGATAGTTGGATAGTTGGAAAGTATACTTTATTTCACTGGCTGGTCGTAATACTCTTATCTCCTTTGTCATAAGTACTATCCCGAATTATTTAATGCAAACTGTGACTCTCCTAACTAGTATTTGCCAAGAGCTTGACAAATGCAATCAAAATTTTTACTGGGGCAGCACTACTAAATGTAGGAAGGTCCATTTGGTGGCATGAAATGAGGTGTGTAAAACTAAAGAGAAAGGAGGACTTGGCCTGAGGCAAGCTCAACTTCAAAACAAAGAATCCTTATGAAGCTAGGTTGGAACTTAATCAAGCATCGAGAAGACTTCTGGGTCAAATTGGTTTGAAATAAATATGGTTGTGATAATGATCTAATTCTAAAAATTGATGCCAAGTGAGTTGGGTCTAATATAGGGTCAAGCATCAAGTAGGTTTTGGACACAGTAGCAGAAGGCTTAGAAACTATACTAGGTAGAGATGATATCAGATGGCATTAGGAAAAATGCAGACTCTTCTATGTTTATTAGTATATAATCATTTACAATGATAGAATTGCGAAAGGGATCTTTGTTGCTCACCGCAAGTGTACGGATCGTAGCAAGTAATATAATAAAAGTAAAGTATCGTTCCCTCGAGGATTTGTTCAAAAACAATAATTAAGCAAAAGACTAAGTAAATTTGATTAAGTTGAGCTACACAAAATTAGGTGAAAATGATTTTGCAAATGAAATTAACTCTAGAAAATAAAGAAAAGCGAGTGATTCACAAACTTCTAACATAATTTAGGACTTAGGATTAATTATCCCCCTTGCATTTCATAACACTAAAATTACCTCCTCTCATAAATGCTTTTAATGAAAATAAGTGCTAACCTAGGGTTCTAAAAATACTTGGACAAGCTCTCTTAAGTCATGAACAAGTGTTTAGTTAAATTAATTGCCCAATCTCTTATTACAATTAATAAAACTCAATTTTAAACACCAACCCTAATGTGGCTATGCAAGGCTAGCAAGTATATCTCTATCTTACTAGCAAAACCATCCATTCAACATGCAAATATCAAGTTCTTACACAATTTTACCCAAGTTCTACACTCAACCTAGCCCTCTCAAGCATCAATTAAGTGAACCCAACATCTCAATGGTGGCCAATCAAGTAGAAGCATTAAGAAAACAGTAAAATAAACACATATATATCATTAATCACAAAAAGAGAGGAGAAATATAGTGTTAATCCATACAAGGGTTCTAAATAATCGTAGAACAAAGGGTTTAGCTACTCATAATCATCCATAAGCTACAAATATACAAAATAAGTGGATCTATTTCAGATTACAAGAGAGAAAAGGGAAGAGGAATAAAAAAATTGAAGAAAATGAGCTCTAAATGTCTTCAAAGCTTCAATCTCTTGATCCCAACTCTTCCAATGTCCAAACCCTAACACAACCAAGCTCCAAAAGTGTCTAAAAGTCTGAAGAATGCGTTTTGGGTCGAGCTCTCAGCTTATATGTATCCTAGCCAACTAATTTCTAATAAATAAAACGCAACGTTTTTCTGACAGCAGCGAAAGTCGCGAACGAAAGTCACAACTTTGGGACAACTTTGGCAGTTTTGCACTGTTTTTACAGCTAACGAAAATCATTCATTTTACTCTTGATTTCTTTATCCAAAAGCCTTCCATAAACATTCACAAAGCTCCAGAAATGCTTCTAATCAAAACTTCAATTAAAATAACATGAAATTAGGCTAAAAATATCAAATTAAAGGCAAGAACACAAGCCGAAAACAAAATGCACATTTTCCTAATTTAGGCGATAAAAACATATACAATTGAACCAAAATGGATTAGAATCTAAGAAAAATGTGATGAAATAACATGAACTTCTAGATGTTAACAATCCTACCTGGTCAAAGATCTGGAAGCTGAAGATTCCTTATTGGTGTTGGTCCTTTCTTTGGCTAACTTTACAGGGTAGCTTACTCATAAATGATATGCGATAGAAATGTGGGATCTATGATGATGACACCTACTTAGGTTATCGACAGAGAATGGAAGACCTTATCCATGTTCTTAGGGATTGTGAGATTAAGAAGCAACTTTGGAAAACCATGATTCAACCAAAGAGTGGAGAAAATTTTTTAGTCTAGAGCTTAAAAGATTAGATTAGATGGAATCTTTCTATGCTGAAGGCTGTGAGTAATGATGAATGAGGTGCTTATTTGTGATAATTTGTTGATGGATCTATAAACATTGAAACCTCCACATTTTTGAAAATGATAGGGTGGAGAATGCAACTGTAATTCATAATGCTTGAGCTATGATAAGTAGCAAACAAGAAGTAGAGCTAGAGTTGGGGAAGGGCTAAAGGAATAGTGTGAGGCAAATGTGAGGCTTGAAGTGGCACCTTCCTAATCCTAAGTAAATTAAATGTAATATTGATATAACTTTCTCACACAAGGAAGGGCATACTGCGTGTAGGGGTTTTCTTTGTGACGCAAATGGAAAGTTTATTAGGGGCTTTGCTTGTAGAATGGAAGAGGGCGATAGCTTATCTTCAAAGCTATGGGCATGCATTCATGGGCTACGTCTTGCTTGGGATATAGGTTTCTAGAAAGCAAAACTAGAGATGGATTCCATGAAGGCTTTGGATTTGATAATGTAGGGCTATGGTGCTGAAAATAGTGATTATGGAGTTGTGATGGAGGTGATTTATTAGATGCAAAGGAACGGGCTTGTGAAAGCTACCCATGTGCTGAGAAGCATGAATTATGCTACAAGCTACCTCACCAAACTTGCACTTGGTTTGATACTTGGTATCACATCCATACTTGATAGTCTTGATGGCTTACTCGACATCTTGAATGAAGATACTGGGGGGGAATAGTCAAGGGGTAAGCTAGTGATTAGCTTGGAGTTCATTTTGTATTAAATAAAAAACATCCGCACTAAAATATTACCTAGTTATCCTAAATTATAAAATAATTTGATACAATATTACACAATTCAATAAAATTTAATAATAAAGCTTTATAAATTTAACTTTTTAAAATAAAATTATAAATTTTAAAAATTGGTTGTATATATATAATCATCATCATTATACTACAATATTTTTCAAAATTTATTTATGAAAATATTTTTGGGATAAGGAAGTATTTTGGGGGAAAAAGGATAGAAAAATTCATTTAAATTATGTAAATGACAGATTAGTCTCACAAAATAGCATACTTTTCTTGAAGTCCCATAAAATTTTTCTATCATTAGAGAATTAAAAGAAATGACCAAATTGCCCTCAAATAAAATAAAAATCTCAAACCTTAATGCAGAGCCATTCTTGTGCGTTCTTGCCTCTGCTTTGTCTTCTTGTTCTCCTCCTCTTCTCTTTTTCATGCTTTTCTTCGGGTCCATCTCTTTCTCCTTCTCCGTCTCCTTCTCCTTCTCATCTATCTTATTTCTTTTTGAATTTATGTACATGGGTTCCTTTGTTAGCTGTGCTGTATGTGGGTAAGTTTTTTATTCTCCTTGAAAATTTCTCCTCCCATATATAATAGTTGAAATTGATGTGGGTTAATGTACATAAATAATTGAGATCTTCATTTTCTTTTCATGATTGAGGTTTTCATTTTCTTTGCTGTACTTGAGTATGGATGCTTACTCATGGATAAATGATAAATGATATATTATTTTCATTTGTGTTATAAATGCATAAATCAAAGTTGTGAATGACCAATACAAAGCTGTGAATATAAGAATAATTGTTGTTGCTGAATAAAACATAATAGATATATAATTATGATGTTTGGAAAATAAACATGTTAATAAATAGCTATTTTATTGTTTCAGGTTGGCATGAGAGATGGTTGACATGCTGGGATGACACTAGAAGATTCAACCCTTCATATATTTTTGTCAGAAGGGTTATAGGGTATTTTAATACAAGTTGTAGATCACGTAATTGACAAAAAATCTTAGATAGTTGTCACTTTTTAAAGTTTTCTTGTCATTTAAATTAATAAAAATTGTTATTTCTTAGATTAAAGTGGTAATTCATTTTTGTTGATTTAGTCAATTTACAAAGGGTATTGATAAATTACAATTCTTTGTTGCATTATTGTGAATCTAGGAACAAAAGTTGTGAATGAAAAGTTATGAATTTTCAACATATGATGCATATCAGAATCTGCATATACGGAGTTGTGAAAGACTATTGAGTTATTGTGAATTTAAAAATAAAAATTATTAATATAAGAATAAAATTTGTAAATAAAAAGTTACGAATTTTCAACACCTAATGTATATTAAAACCTGCAGATACAGAATTGCGGATGACTATTAAATTATTGCGAATTTAAAAATAAAAGTTGTTAATATAAAAATAAAAGTTGTGAATAAAAATTTATAAATTTTCAATACTTGATGTAAATAAGGACCTGTAGATTAGAACTTGCAAATAACTATTAAATTATTGTGAATTTAAAAATAAAAATTATTAATATATGAATAAAAGTTAGGAATGCAAAGTTATAAATTTTTTTAAATTAAATAAAGAGTAAAAGTATTATTTTTTATAATTTTTTTAGTGATAAAAACATCCCTTAAAACTTCAAAAAAATTATATCATTGTATGAAATAATATATCATTTAAATAATTTTAAAGAATTATATTATTATTTTTCCTATTTTAAGTTATTTTACAATTTGAGAAAGGGGGGTATTTTAGAGTCGACTTTTATCCACTGTTCTTTCACTATCTTCATATTTTTCTTAGTTTTACGTTTTTTGCCCACCAAATCAGCAGTGGCCTTGACATTTGAGATTTGACATGGATAATCATGATAGCGATGACGTTAGCAGCAAGTTACGGCGCTTGCGCAAGGCGACACGGAGGTATTGACTACAGAACAATTACTGCGCTTGGCCCTCCGAAGGTGACGACGGACGAACAAGCTGCTGCTTTTACGAAATCCTTTTCAAATCTTGTGTTGCTTTCTCTTGTATATTACACGCATTTGCCTGCAATATCTTAATCCCTACTTTTCTCTCCCAGTTGGGAAAAAGCCGGTTTCTGGTCGCTGGAAATTTGTAGTGATCGCTTTCTTATGTGAGGAATTTCAATGAATGAGTTCTTTCTTGGAAATGCGTGAAACAAAAGGAAACTTCCCTTGTAGCTGAAAAGTTCAACTTGCCTCGTTGGATGATCCGCCGACATACTTTGTTTGTTCCGCCATTCTTTCTTGTTGACTGGCTTGTTGGGTTTAGATCACCGAACTTTTGGATTTGAGTTTATTGTTTTTTGGGATGTTACTTTTTGCACGTTGACAGCCCTTATAACCCTTTAATAACCCAATTGGAATTGTTGAATATTCCTGAACCTGATTCTTCTTATCTTATTCTGTATTTTCCTTGTGATGCGATTGAAAGGGATTGTTTGTTTTAGTTAGAACTCGGGAGACCTACTGCCAATTGTGATATTCTTCTGATGTTCTTGAGATTTATGGATGCTTTCATGTGAAATTGGTTTTAAGAGGCTGCAGCTTGGATGATAATTACCAGCAAGACTTCAGGGTATTCTAGATTGTTAGCTAATATCTCTCAGCATTTTTCATCTTAACATTGGGCTTTTAAAATGTCATTTGGAACGAAGATGGTTGGAACTAATGGAGATTTGAGCGAGAATACGCATCCAAATGGTTCTCTTAAAAATGGAAATGGGGGTTTGGAAGAGAGGGTCGATGAGCTTCGTCGGCTTATGGGCAAAGTGGAGGGTGATCCCTTGAGAATTGTAGGAGTTGGAGCTGGTGCTTGGGGTAGTGTATTTACTGCTTTATTGCAGGAGGCTTATGGGAGTTTAAGAGATAAGGTTCACATAAGGATATGGAGAAGACCGGGGAGAACTGTTGACAGAGCAACTGCTGAGCACTTGTTTGAGGTGATTAATTCAAGGGAGGATGTATTGAGGAGGCTAATTAGGCGGTGTGCATATTTGAAATATGTTGAGGCAAGATTAGGTGATCGAACACTTTATGCGGATGAGATTTTGAAAGATGGGTTTTGCTTGAATATGATTGATACCCCTTTATGTCCTCTGAAGGTTGTGACGAACTTGCAGGAGGCTGTATGGGATGCTGATATTGTGATCAATGGTTTACCATCAACAGAGACCCGTGAGGTATTTGAAGAAATTAGTAAGTACTGGAAAGAGAGGATCACAGTTCCTGTCATCATTTCCTTGGCAAAAGGTGTAGAGGCTGAATTGGGTCTTGAGCCACGAATAATAACTCCCACTCTGATGATTAATCGGGCAAGTAAGTTTAAAGAAGATTTATTTCAGTATGCACTCTGGGTAGTGGTATATGTTCATAGAATGATTTACTCTCCGAAGTTTCCTGTTTTGCTGTCTGTGCTTTCTCTTGTGCCTTTGAATGCATCTTGTTGCTAAGTTGGCCCTCTGCCAGTGTCACTTTTTTTTTTTTTGTTTTTGTTTGGGTAACGAGTGTAAGGACTGCAACAGGTCTGAAGGCTCCTACTTCATAAAAAATGTCACTTGGTAACCTTTTTTATGGCTTAGCTAAATCTTTCTCCTCCTCCTCTCTTTCTCTCTGTCTCTGTTTTTTTTCCTGAGTTTTCCTTTACTGTAAGCAACCTGAATTTTCATTTCATTTTTGAAGTAGGAGCCTCCAGTCCTGTTGCAGTCCTTACACTCATTAAATGGTTTTGGTTTATATTTTTCATTCTTTTTTATCTACCTCATTTTGCAATGAACTTTCCTGGGAAAGTCAGAAAATTTCTTGTCACTTGCTATCTAGTGGAAAGCTGGGGTTTACAAGTAGTTGGATCCAGTGGAAAGGTGTCCCAATGAGGTATCATGTAAGATACCTGAAAGATAACAGTAAACTAAGTTCTGGTAAATTTTCCTTTGCTGATGGGTGTCAATTTGGAAGGATTTGAAATTCTATGATCACTTGGGGTAAAATCTCTCCATTTGTTAGTAATCCTGGTTCTACAAGCCAGACGATGAATGTTGTTAGCCAGGTGTCTTTTTCACCTTTTGCTTTCTATTATACTCCCAACAAAAATCTTTTCATTTGCTTACCAGAGACAATTTCTTCTTATGATTATCCAAACCAAATTTAAGATCCTGATGGCATATTTTTCTTTGTGTTCGAGCATTCATACTCTTTTGAAGCATGGTTATCCCTGTTATATTTTGATGCTGTGCTTTAGTTCCTCAAAACGGAAGTTTAGCAGGAAAAAACTTAGGTACTTAGATTTATGTACTTAAGAAGCTTGCTTCTAATTAAATCAAGACATTTCAATTTTTTTATAGATTTTTTTATATCATAACAAACTATTTTTAGTAATATTATTAACACTTTAAAATTTGCTTGTTTTGATTTGATTGGACAAAAATATATTTAGTATATTTGGTTAAGCTCTTCCCCATTTTAGTATATCAAAGTAGACTGAAATGATTGTTCTAATTTCAGTTGTTCGTCGTAACACAGTATGGGTTTATCTTTTCTGTACTTATATACCATGTTGCATTGAACCTATACTATTTTGTATCGACTTTAATTTTTTTATATACTAGCTGACCTATTTACCAATATGAGTATTGATGCAAAGTGAGAATGTCAAGGTAATGATAAAATAGGTACGAACTTTGTATGTATGAATATCTCAGTTTAATAATCAAAAGCATGCCAAGTGTGTAATCTGTATCGCTGATATCATATATATGATTTTTAACTTTACAGTAATAGTTTATCTTTTCTGGAAAAGAAAACATAAACTTAAATGAAGTGCTCCCCATTCAGTGGGTGAATCCTAATGTAGTTATGTGCTTATGCTTGTATGATAATGGCATATATGTGTGCTGTATGTACGTTTCCACTACCTTCACTGTCTGATCTCATGCTTCACAGCTGGAGTGACCATGGAGAACATTCTTTATCTTGGAGGACCTAACATTGCTTCAGAGATTTACAACAAGGAATATGCAAATGCTCGAATATGTGGAGCAGAAAAATGGCGGAAACCATTGGCAAAGTTTTTGAGGCAGCCCCACTTTATTGTGTGGGATAATGGCGATCTTGTTACTCATGAAGTTATGGGTGGACTGAAGAATGTCTATGCTATTGGAGCAGGTAAAGTTTAGATCATTTTATTAGCCCGACAGAAGCCAATGAGCACATATTTGTTGAAGCATGGGTAAGGTAGGGGCCATTCTGGATCATTATATGGTATTGCTTTAGTGTTTTCTGTATTGAAATTTTAGTTACTTTGTTCTAGTTAAAAGAGATACAGGAATCTTCCCATAAAAGGGCAAAAGAAATCGAAAGAAAGAAAAGATAAATGGGGAAGAAATGCTGGTCATCAATTATTCTTAACATCCCTGCTGGTACATTAATATTATTGGATGAAAAGAGAGGACTTCATGGACTCTGTTACAAGTCACTGTTGATACATGCCTAACACGTGCAATTGTCAGGAAAAAAAAATTATATATGTTGTTATTTTGGAATGCATCGCTTTCTCTCTTCTCTTATGTAGAGCTTATATGTACTATGTATGTATCAGAGACATGAACTTTTTAACACAAGCACTATTTCTTCATTAGTTATAAACCAACAACTCAATCTTAATATCCACTGTTAGAAATTGGCTGCATTATAATTCTTGTGTAAAGGTGACATCTGAAAATGTATTGAAGAATATATTAATCTATGAAGATCTCAGGACTTATGGGGAAACGGTTTTTCATTTAGAAACATACAGGTGTTATTCTGTTTCTCTAACTTAAGCGATTGATGACATCTTTTTTTTTTTTTTTTTGGTTGGATAACATTGTTGTTGCAAGTATGGTTACAGATATAAACATCTGGCACCCTATGACATTGACTCGCTTTCAGTTGAAAGGTTGATAACATGCTTTTCAGATTGAAGACTGCTCTGTGTGTGGTCTTTGGATGCTACCCTGCAAAAATGCTTTGTTGATTTAATAATAATTTTAAATTTTAAATATTGTAATTTATATAAATATTACACACACACACATTCATAAATTTCAATGAAACAGGAATGGTAGCTGCTCTAACAAAGGAAAGTGCCACCAGTAAATCAGTGTACTTTGCACACTGTACATCAGAGATGATTTTTATCACACATCTGTTGGCGGAAGAACCAGAGAAACTTGCAGGACCTCTGTTGGCTGATACTTATGTAACCTTGTTGAAAGGTCGTAATGCTTGGTATGGACAAAAGCTGGCCGAGGGGGAATTGAGCCTTGAAATGGGTGATAGCATCAAGGGCAAGGGGATGATTCAGGTGCAGATTTCTTTGTTTCTTTTTAAATTAATGATTCTTCTGGCACAGGAAAAGTTCATTTATCTTTGATCTGATTGGAGAGAATCAGACAGAGTGGAATTCTGTAGGTACTGAATTTTAGTTTTCCGAGCTCTTAAAAATACATTTATATAGTATTTGAGCATACTAAGCAAGAAAAACTTTGAATTTCATGTAAATTAGATTCTAGCTCATTGGTTTAGTTTAAAATCAATTTATATCTCGATTTGCTTTATTACCACTTATACCTCCAAAATTAGAATACACATGGAAAAGACCATCTTAAGGTTCTACTGCTGCAGCTTGTCAATAATGATTTTTCTGCTTTGTATATTGTAGGGAGTATCTGCAGTCAAAGCATTTTATGAATTACTTAGTCAGTCCTGCTTAAATGTCCTAAATCCTGAAGAAAACAAGCTTGTTGCCCCAGTGGAGCTTTGCCCCATCTTGAAGATGTTACATAAAATACTCATAATAAGGTAATAAACTTGGCTACCTTAGCGTTCTCCATCCCCCTTCCTTTTTCCTCATTTAGTACTGAAAAAAATGATGGATAATGGGACTCGGCCTGCTGTGGCTTGAGAGTAGAGCTGTTTGAGGACTCGTTTGGCTCATGGATATGCTTGGTTAACGTGGTGGAACCAAGCAAGGGCCTAAACATTTGGTGGACTGTGGGCTTAAAAATTCAAAATCATCATATTGCGCTTATGCACTCATCGCCTGGCTCTAGCTTGGGCTGAAAGTTCAATGAATTTCTGTCACTCCCTCAATTTGGCAGTCTTTATTCATTCTCATTCTTCATTCTCTCTTTTATTACGTCTAATTTTTGACTTTTAATTGTATTAAGTTCAATTTTCCTCTAGTAAATCAAAGCAAACATGTTGAATTCACGTCACTTGGGGTTGGTTTTGGCCCAATGCTTAAGACTATTGGGTTCTAGCTGAAGCCTGACCTAGTCCAAGAATAAACATCTGTATATAAACCCTCCGTTGATCCTTTGGCTGGAATTAATACATAAGCCCTGCATAATGTGGAATGGAACCAACATATTCTGTGGTTTTGCTGACTTTGAATCTTCAGGGAATCTTCTCCACGGGCCATTCTTGACGCACTAAGAGATGAGACCATGAATGATCCACGTGACCGTATCGAGATTGCTCAAAGCCATGTCTTTTACAGGCCTTCTCTCCTTGGCCAACAGCCTTGAATCGTAATCTGTGTGTGGGGGTTTTTTGTTTGGCTTATGGTTTTGAGTTTTGACATCTTTTCATAGGTTTTCAAATGTTAAAAATGAGTGTTCTTTGAAGTTGGAACCTTTCCTGCAATAGAGGTAATCCCAAGTGATGGACAAATCTCCTGTTTGAATGAATATAGAAGGAACTATTCTTATCATGGTCATCAGGACTGATACTTTTTTTAGACTAGCTTAGAATGCTACTGTGATTTTGATTTGATGTCTCTTGGTTCATTTTAGTCAAAATTATTGGCTAAACTACATGGTAGAGCAGGTGTATGAAACCCTTTATAACCAGTTGCATTGTTTCATTACTTGTGAACAATATAACTTCCTATAGATATATTAGGTGTGTGTGTGTGTGTGTGTGTGTGTGTATGGACATCTTTTTTGTCTGGATATTAATAACATTGATATATAATGTAAAAATTCAAACAATTTAAACTATTTGTAAGCTGTAAGTTGTAAATAGTGAGGCACATTCATAAGATTTTGAGTAATGCAGGGAACTTGAATTTAGTTTTCATATAATTGAAAGATTCTCTCCTGGGTTGGATAGAACAAGTTGAATGGCAATTGCATTCCTTTTTTTTTTTCCCCGCTCTTGATTTTTGTTTGTTTTGGGAATAGATGCCACTCATGTTTGGCTTTTTGAAATTAGGGGGAAAATGAAAATTTCCTGGTCAAATATTTGTAAGTGATGTGTCACTACTTATTTCTTAGAATCTGAAGTTAAATGATTTCATTTCTAATGTTAAAGCTTGTAATGAATTATCTGTGGTTAAAAGTTAAACAGAATGGAGCAGCTAAAGTTGATATGGTTGTAAGAATTTTTATCACTTAAGCAAGTGGTTTGGAGTTTAAATCTCAGTCTTTGATTATATAGTAAGGTTTTAGTATTTCGAGGAAAATAAAGTTTGTTATCAAAAGAGTCTATTTTTTATGCTCATCACAAAATATTAATCAGAATGGAATTGGTTTGATTCATGTTGCCACCACATGTTAGGCGCCTACATCACCATTGTGTCTAAGGTCATATTCATCCCTTTTAGTTTTCCAGGTCAGCATGTTATTTGCCAGTTTAGATGAATATTAGCAACGTCTTGACACATTCTGATGATAAGCATTTGAAATAATTCGGTTTATTTTAAGTTGGTCTGAATATCCAACTTTATTCGAAGGTCGGAACTCGTATGCGTCTCTTTTACAAGAATCACACTTGTTTTTTTTTTTTTTAAAAATGAGACTAATCAAAAAGAATTGTGGTGATTAAATTACTAAATATGTGACAAAAGTTAACCTCAATATAATAAAGTCTTAATCAAGAAAAACCCATATAATATCATAAAATATAAATTTGGCCAAAAAAATCGTAAAATATAAATTTAAGTGGATAACAAGTTTTAGTAAGACAATTCAAGTGTTACTGAATTTAAATTTATTTAAATTTAGTCTATATTTATATAGGGAAAAATTTATATGCTCCCCCGTTAAAAAATATAAGATATTTTTAATTAAAATTTACTTCAATAAAGTAGTTAGTTATCTTTAAATTAATATTTTTTTATATTTATTCTTATTTAATAAGATATTTTTCTATAAAATTAATATAAAATGATTTATTTATTATGGATACTTTTAAAAAAATATTAATTACTCTTTAAAACACTAAAAATATCTTAGATTATTTTTAATATGGAACATTTTAAAAAAATTTCTTACATTTTTTAATGGTAAGAGTATAATATATAAACTCTCATAAATCACATTGTTCATGAGGCTTATTTCTCAAACTTCATAGTCATCACACATCATGCTAACTATGAACGATATGATGAAAAGAAACCAGTTCAAATTATTGCTGCAAAATGTTATAAAAACAAGTAAAATTCTATCGGCATATAAATTATCTTTTAGAAATAATTGATTATTATTTTTATAATTTATTTTGTCAAAATTATGGATTATTAATTACTTTCCTTTTATTCTACTCCTTCACAATTTTCTATGAATAGAACAAAATGTTTGATATAAAAAAGAAAATGTTTTTAAAGATAATGTATTTAATAAGAATAAATTAAGACATTTCTTTTTTTAAAATAATATCAATAATTTAACCGCATCCTATTATTTTAGTAAGGTAATCAAAATCACAGCTATCAATTAAGGCTAACCCTTAATAAACTAAAGCTTAAATAGGTCAACTTTGATAAGCTTAATTATATTTTAGGACTCAATTTTGCAAGTCAGCCCTAAAACTCTCAAGGTTGAAAGGTCGGCCCTACAACACTCAACCCTAATTTTTTTTATTTTTTAATTTAAAAACTAAAAAAATATTATAATTCTAAAAAAATCACTATACATAAAATTAAAGGCTAAAATATATTTTTAGTCATCTAACTTTATATGTTTCAATTTAATTCTTTAATTTTATAAACTATCTTTTTAATTTTTTAACCCTAACAGCGTTAATTTCAAATGACTATATTTTGTATCAATCATTGTTATTTAAAAAAACTAAACTTAATATATCAACATTTAAAATATTTTGTTAATAAATGAAAGTTTAATGTAAAAATTTATGGGAATAAAACTAATAGTGTCAAAGTTAAAAGATTAAAAAGATGCCTTATAAAGTTAAGAGACTAAAATAAAAAGTTATGTAAAATTAAAGAATTAAATGTATATTTTAGCATAAAATTAAATTTAAAAAAATAAATTTAAATCAATCCACATCACAATAAATATGTAAAATTTAAATATTCAAATCTAATATCAAATAGTAATATCAAAATTAACACGAATGAGAATTATATTTTACTAGCATTACCAGTTAAATCTTATTAATTATCATTATTATTAACATCAAGTCTAGAATTTTCATTTCTTTTTGTTAGATATTCAGTATTTTACTCTTTTATTTATTTCATATTATTTTTTAAAATAAAAATAATAAAAGGAATTAAAAAGCTAGGGCTAACTCTTTTATTATTCTAAAGTAACAGGCCGGCCATGATTATTTTTAAGCTTAATTGGACTCTGCTTAATTGATAGGTCTAATTAGGAGTGACTTACTAATATATTATTTATATTATTATTATTACTACCACTAATTATTATTATAAATGTTTTGCTAAAAACGAAAGCTCCTAGAAATTTACAAGTATTTGTCAATTACAACTTACAAGGCGTAGAAAATTCAGAGCCAATCGATTGTGTGACGATATTGATACATAAATTTAAAAAAACGAAAAAAGCAACTGTTCTCTATCATGCAAATCAGCATATCGCACTGAGCCCTATGAGGAGCCTATATACATCTATAATTAAACAAGCTACTGCATCTCTTTTGATTCGCGCCAAATCCGGCGATGTTTGAACCTTTCTCTCCTAAACCACTTCCACTTCCTGCTTCCTGTCTGTTATTCTCTAACAGATTCATCGCTTCGGGTTCTAGACTCATCTCACTGATCCAGGACGCAGCACATTGAGCGAGCCAACGCAATATGGAGCAGTACCTCCGAGAAAACTTCGATGTCTCCTCCAAGCGGCCGTCGGAGGCGGCCCTCCGCCGCTGGAGATCCGCTGTCGCTATTGTCAAGAATCCCCGCCGCCGCTTTCGCATGGTCGCAGACCTCGCCAAGCGGGCCGAGGCTGAGAAGAAGCGCAAGAAACTCCAGGTTTGAGAATACTCTGTTCACTCTTTTTAAGCTCTTACAGAAACTGTGTTAGCATTTGGATCTTTTTCTTTCTCTGTTATGTTGAAACTGATTTATTAACATACTTTATGCCTGTTTTGGAAACGAAACGAACTTGATTTGTTTTGTCTTTTTTTTTTTTTTGGCTTGCTGTTTTGTTGAATCGAAACTGATTGCTCAATGAGAAAAAAAAAACTGATTACTCTGTTTTTTATCACTGTTCATACTGTGATTTAGTGATTGGTTTAGATATTATGATCGGCATTTTCACAATCAGAGTGAGAAATCTGAAGGTTCTGGTTATGATCTCTGGATTTCTTTGTTAGGAGATGAACCTTCATGTACATTTTTGAAATTTTCTCGTCAAACAGATAGAGATGGAAGATTGCTGGCACACCATGTGCGCCTGTTAATTATTATCCTAAACCACAAGAATAACAGAACAGGGAAGCGTGCCGCCCACAAACTCAGTCAAATTGTTAACGTGTTTAAATGGTTATTGGCTTTTTTTCACACAGTATAGCTCGACATTTCTGGGATTTTTCTCATTTCTGGTAATTCTAGCTACCAGTCTTTGACGTCATTTTCTTCCGTACCATTTAAGACAAGAGTACAGCTCTATATAAGTAGTTTTCAATACTAATAGGAGCGATTGTTCGGTGAATTTTCTTATTTGACCCCGAAACAAAGATACAGTCCTTTATAATTTTCTTATTTCTATCAGAGTCACGTGCACGCAGCATTGATCTCACATCAATAAGCTTTGAATACTTGAGCCCTCGATCCACACTGAAATTTACAAAACCAAATCGAGCTTTTGTTTCGCGAAGGCTTCACACGACGTATAATGGCCTTTTCAAATGTTACGAAAGTCGTAGGTGAGATAAATATCTAGGCTAATGGTGGCCAACTTGTCTCCTCTAGCAGGAAACTTTTTTCACTTAATTAAAGATTATATGATCAAGTCTTATCACTTCATTTGAAATGACTTCTAATCCAGTTTTTAATATCTCTTTTATTTTACATTGTTGTTCTTTCCTCGCTCCGAGTTGGGCCAGTTGGTGAACGCCGCCTATTTCTTAGGCATAACGGATTTACAACAAATGAAAAAAGATATACATATATTGTTTCTTGTGTCAAAAGGAAAGTTAAATTTGAGTTTGGATACCCTAGCTTCACAATATTAACTGCATGTGATACATTAATAGTAGGAGTAAAGAGATGAAGAGTGTAATTATAAGATATAGGGTTCTACAGGACTATACCATCCTATTTATCTCTTGTCCTGTGAAGTCATGGTTGCATGGCTGAGTTAACTTGGAATACTTGCCGAGAATTATTAAGCTTATGCACGTGCATGTTCCAGCTAACCCATGTAACTAGGATCAAATGTTCCTTTGCATGCTTTTCAAGGCAATGGTATATCGTAGTATTTCCTGTCTCTACTTTTTCTGGTCAATCTCTTCTGCAAGGTTGTCCCCCATCTTTTTTAAATTAGTTTAGTGCTCCTGCAGGTTCGAAATTATCAACTCTTTTTTTTTTGGTAAAATGGAAATTATCAACTTTACTAGGAAGAGGAGTGAATTATAAGACAAAATAATTCTATTAGGACAATTATATATACACTAAGTATGTGAACAGAGGAAAAAATTGATAGCGTTCACTTGCGATGGGGACAAAAAGATTTCGTTAAAATTTTAATTTAACAATAATAATTTAATAAGTATTTTTGAAAATGTAACTAAACTATTGATAATTATTTATAATTTATTTTAAGAGCAATATTTGGATAAAAATATGTTATGAGTCTCAACTCCAACTTGGCTAGTAGAAGTCTACCCTAAACATTATCTATTTGATAATTTACGATTTAATAACAATAAAAATATGTTTGATGGCAATTATATTATTCCACTAAAAGCATCAGTTCAAATATTTCTAGTAAAAGATTAAAATATGCTATGAATATCAAAATTTGTAGATGTAACAATCTTGTTGGGATGTGTTTACCATTTGGCCTCGATACTACGGGAAAAAAAAAAAACAGACTTTAGTGTTAGTAGGGTATACTCTTTATGCCTCACGAAAAATATGTTATAAATTTATCAAAAAATAGAACAAATTGAATGTGGCTGTAAATGATTATACGAATGTATAAAAAAATGATTATACAAATAATCATAATCATACGTACCTATTATTATATTTAGAATAATTGATTATATGATTCGCAACACAAAATCTTTTTTTTTTCGCCAAAAAATAAAAATAAAGGTTTAAACTTTAAACTTTAAAGTTTAGCCTGCCTCTGTGGCTTTGTGCCCCTTTCTCTCAGCTACCATTTCTCCGTAGCTCTCACGACCCAAAATTTCTGCCATGTGGCTGTTGGATACCTTATTCAGTTATTCCCGCTCTCGAATGGATTGCCTGCATAGGATTTTCCACGTGCCTCCTTTTTTAAAAGTTGCAACAAAGTCCATATAATCGTTCGCTTTTTATTCTCACCTGACTAATGTTCGGACTTCTATCTTGAACAGGAAAAAGTACGAGTAGCTCTTTATGTGCAAAAAGCAGCATTGCAGTTTATTGACGGTATTTTACACTTAATTCCGAGTAGATTCAGTCACCTTTTTATTTTAGTTTTTTTTTTGTTTAATTTGACATCTATGTTAATGTGCATCAGAATTATGTTAAATTCATAAATGCAAGGAATTTGATTTCTTTTCTCACACAGCTGGGCAACGTGATACGTCCATACTCTCCAGAGAGGTCAAAGAATCAGGTTTTGCTATTGAGCCCGACGAATTAGCATACATATGCCGATCACATGATAGCAAAGGCTTAGAACATACTGGAGGAGTAGCAGGATTGGCAAAAGCAATTAATGTATCATTGAAAGGCGGTGTTAGTTCAGGTGATGTTCCTCACAGACAAAATATCTTCGGTTCTAACCGTTTTGCTGAGAAGCCCTCAAGAGGATTTTGGATGTTCGTTTGGGATGCAATGCAAGACTTGACTCTCATTATCCTTTTGTTATGTGCTCTAGTTTCAATAGGAGTTGGAATCCCAACTGAAGGTTGGCCAAAAGGTTTATATGATGGAGTGGGAATTGCACTCTCTATTCTTTTAGTTGTCTTCGTCACTTCAGTTAGTGACTATAAACAGTCGTTGCAATTTAAGGATTTGGAAAATGAGAAGAAAAATGTTACCATTCAAGTCACTAGAGATGGGAATAGGCAAAAGATTTCGATCTATGAGTTAGTGGTAGGAGATATTGTTCACTTGTCAATTGGAGACATAGTTCCCGCAGATGGGCTATTCATATTAGGTTACAGCTTACTAGTTGATGAATCAAGCTTATCAGGCGAGAGTGAGGCTGTGCATGTCGATGAAAAAATGCCCTTTCTTCTAGCTGGGACCAAAGTACAAGATGGATCTGCTAAGATGCTAGTGACTTCTGTTGGTATGAGGACTGAATGGGGAAGATTGATGGATACTCTGAACGAAGTGGGAGATGATGAGACTCCGTTGCAGGTCAAACTAAATGGGGTTGCGACCATAATTGGAAAGATTGGCTTGGGTTTTGCCCTGCTGACGTTCTTGGTTCTAACTGGGAGGTTTTTAGTTCGTAAAATATTTCGTCATGAAATCACTCAATGGTCCTTACACGACGCATCTGAAATACTCAATTTCTTCGCGACTGCTGTAATTATAATAGTCGTGGCAGTTCCAGAGGGGCTTCCGTTGGCAGTGACGCTAAGCCTTGCGTTTGCAATGAAGAAATTAATGAAGGACAAGGCACTTGTCAGGCACCTCTCTGCATGCGAGACGATGGGTTCAGCTGGTTCTATTTGCACAGACAAAACAGGAACTTTGACGACAAATCACATGGTTGTACATAAAATATGGATTTGCGAGCAAACTAAGGAAATAAGAAACGATAACATTGAGAATTTGTTAAAGTCGTCGATTTCGGAACAGATATTTGACCTCTTTTTGCAGTCAATATTTCAGAATACTGGCTCAGAGGTGGTCAACGGTGAAAATGGAAAGAACAAGGTTATGGGTACTCCGACAGAGAAGGCACTGCTGGAATTTGGATTGCTTGTTGGAGGTGATTCTGATGTTTATAATGAGAGGTATAAGATCTTAAAGATTGAACCATTCAATTCGAACAGAAAAAAGATGTCAGTGCTTGTGGCTCTTCCTGGTGCTGCCAGTAGGTCAAGAGCATTCTGTAAAGGAGCATCAGAAATAGTTCTGGAAATGTGCGACAAACTTGTTGATACAAATGGCAAAGTTGTTCGTCTATTTGAAGAACAAAGAAGGAACGTCACAAAAGTTATCAATGATTTTGCTTCCGAAGCTCTAAGAACTCTCTCAATTGCCTTTAAAGATATCGAAGGAGCTTCTGATGGGGATAATATTCCAGAGGAGAATTTTACATTGTTAGCTATTGTTGGTATCAAGGATCCTCTGAGGCCTGGAGTAAAAGAAGCTGTAGAAACATGTAAAGCAGCTGGTATTTCGGTAAAGATGGTAACTGGTGATAACATTATCACTGCTAAAGCAATAGCTAGAGAATGCGGTATCTTGACAGATGGGATGGCCATTGAAGGGCCTGACTTTCGTAGGATGACCCAGCAGGACATGGAGGAGATCATACCAAAAATACAGGTTTTAATATTTGTCATGGATAACTTTACCGATGTTGATTTAGCGATAGGATATAAGTTAACAAAAAGGTTTTGCTTAATGTGAATAGGTTATGGCTCGATCTTTGCCTCTGGACAAGCACACTCTAGTGACCCATTTGAGGAAGGACTTCGACGAAGTTGTTGCAGTAACTGGTGATGGGACCAACGATGCTCCAGCATTGCGTGAGGCGGATATTGGCCTTGCTATGGGCATAGCAGGGACGGAGGTTTGTAAGACGCAATCTATATTTTTGCCATTGAACTCGGCCACTTATCATCAATTTTTCATTGATTTTATGTGTCAATATCTGCTTGCTCTCCTTATTCATGATCCTAATTGGAAGAACTTCACTTTGATAAAGAATATAATGGTGGGTTCCGTCTCTGCACCATGAAGTACTCGACTGAAGTCGGGCCTATTACTTCAATTTATTTCAATTTGTCGGTGCTTCATCCACGAAATATTATAGAGGACCAAAATTATACACGACAGTCTTATTATCATTCAGAGAACTTTGTCCTTGAACCATTGCTTTGGTTCGGAAGTCACATTATGCTCCATCGCACCACTGGTCATCCCAGTTGTAGGATTAAATATATTTCTCCGATTGTCGCATGAAGCTATAGTTCTTGCACCGGCGGTATTTTTAGAACACAATACAACATCATGCATAATATATACTTGGTAGGTAATTCAATATATGTATGGCCAATGACAACTTGAATCAATTAGTCTGCATGCTTCGATAGTTTGACTTATTAATTCGTTTCACTTCAACGTTAACTTGTTTACTAAACTTCTTTTCTCGTCCTGCAGGTTGCAAAAGAAAATGCGGATGTCATTGTAATGGATGATAACTTCGCAACCATACTGAACGTTGCCAGATGGGGCCGTTCTGTTTACATCAATGTTCAGAAGTTTGTTCAGTTCCAATTAACTGTTAATGTTGTGGCTCTCATCCTCAACTTTGTTTCCGCATGTGTGTCAGGTATTATACCAGCTAACTCTTGAGACAATCTTTTACCATCCTTTTACTCTTACCTAGCCAAATGAATGATTAATTATGTAGAATTCCAATTTCAGGTTCTGCTCCTCTTACTGCTGTTCAAATGCTTTGGGTAAACATGATAATGGACACTCTTGGTGCTTTGGCTCTGGCTACTGAACCACCCCATGATGGGCTGATGACAAGACCGCCTATTGGAAGGAATGTCAACCTCATTACCGGGATCATGTGGAGGAATATAATTGGTCAGAGCCTTTATCAGATAGCTGTTCTTTTGGTTCTGAAATTCCGTGGTAAACAGATTTTGAAGCTTTATGGTTCTGATGCCACCTCTGTTCTGAATACTTTCATATTCAACACCTTCGTATTTTGCCAGGTACACCTAACATTTAGATCTTTGTTGTATTTTTTTCCCCCTGTTGTAGACCATGAATATGCTTTTCTTAAAGATCATTCGTCAGCATTGTCTTCCGATTATTCTTATACGCTATATAGGCCTTGCATTCCTATATGGCTTATAAAGAAACCGATCTAATATACTGTAGACTTTGTTCGTTCTATAAATTGCCACTGTATGGTCGCAATTTTGTGAGAAGTGTATTTTCTTGCGACTGAAAGTACCCATTATTCTATCTTTAGTTTTCATGGAACATATATAAAAAATTACAGCAAATTCGATTGCATTTTAACGCTTTCAGAAGAATTAATTATTTACAAAACTTCGTATGCATTATTGTGAATAGAAGGATATGTATTATAAAACTTATTGAAATTTTTATAACTGTTCGTGTTAATGTACTTGCTATGGTAGCTTTTTTTTTTTTTTTTGGGTCTTTGTATCTTGATTTGAAGTAATGTCCTGATTAACCAAAGGTTAATATATTTGGGTGAATTTTTAGTGTTTTAAGCAATGACTGCATATGGATCTATATTTAGGACAATGTAAAAGCTGAAAATATAAAGCTGGCCTTTATAATCTTTTGAGATTTTGCTTTTTGAATTATGTAATAGTTTATCTAATTAATTTGTGTGTTTGTGTGTGACAAAAAGCAAAACATTTTTGTGACCCCATTTTTCAGCGTTAATTTTTTTGCCTTGTACTTCTCTTTCTCTTCCAATAATTATATATTTTTATTAAAGAACCCGTAATAAATACCAAGGAAAACAATCTCAAGAAATTCTCACTACTAGCTAGCATTTGAAAACCATCATTTCTCGTGTCATGCAATTTCTCCGTACTGTGTAAATTATCAGGTATTCAACGAAATAAACAGCCGTGACATGGAGAAGATCAATGTCTTCCGAGGCATGTTAAGCAGCTGGATCTTCCTGGGAGTTTTGGCCTCAACAATATGTTTCCAAGCCATACTTGTTGAATTTCTGGGTACTTTTGCTCAAACTGTACCATTAAGCTGGGACTTGTGGCTATCAAGCGTCTTAATTGGCCTAGTAAGCTTACCCTTAGCTGCCATTGTCAAATGCATTCCCCTCCCAGAGGCTCGTTGCGACGACCATCACCATCACGATTACGAACCCATCCCCAGTGGCCCAGAGCTTGCCTGAAACAAAGACGTACGCAGCAGTTCACTGCAATTTTGGTAGATATAATGGGCTTCTTAGTTCTTCCTCATCATTAACTAATCATCAGTTCTTTAGTTGCTCTTCTACTTTCACATTATAAGCGTGTCTGCTTTTAATAATCACTAAAATCATAATTTTGGTAGAAGCAAGCAATTACCTACTTCTATCAAAATTATGGCGTTTAACATGAAATCCAACACACTGATCTTATTACAGATCTCTCGTCTCCTAAGTATGGACGTGCATGAGCGTATGTGATATTCTCTGCCTTCTTTTCCATTCTAAATCCCATTTCTAGGGTACAGTATCGTTCTTTTGAGTCTGGAAGTATAGGTTCATTTGCCTCATTTCTGGATTTGTTTTTTACTTTTTAGATTTATAAAGGATACGTTGTTTTTATATATAGAAGTAGAATATTGCGAGGGTGCAACTGCATGGTTATGTTTGAACTAGTAACATTATTTTATTCAATTTTGTAAGATGTCTCCTGGAGAGATAATTGGAAAAATATAATCAAGTGATATTCATTTTCTTTGGATCCTTACAATAATAGTCATCATGAAGAAACGGAGCCAGAATTGTTGGTCCGATTTCTTATTTCTTTCTATTCTCTATTTTCGTTTGTATTTACCCCATCCATAGGGGGTGATTAGGCCTGATTTAATTAGTTTTCCATTGGAAATGAAATTGCTTAAAGAATCATCTGCCATATTTTGTTATTTCATGCCTTTCCATCAAAGAAATACGATTTGTCCAATGGCTAGCTATCCGTGGCAGCGCCACTTTCTTTTTTTTTTTTTTTTGTGGAAAAAGTCTTAGGCTTAATTTTGTTGTTAACATGTTTGTATGTGTGCACAGATGTGTGAATTTCCCTTTCTTACGAAGAATATGTAGCCAGGCTAGAGGTAAAATTTAAATGTTTTATTATTTTTATTATTATTTTAATAATGCATAAGAGAGGAAAATTTAAAAAATATTGAAACCTGCGGTAATTTAGCATTACTTGCAGTTCGTTAGTTGATGCTTTAAGTGTACATAGTGATTTAATATCACTCATGACAAACTCTAAAAAAATTTTCAAAATAAATTTCTATAAAATAATTTGACTATAAAATTTTGATTAGAGGTTTGATACCTACAATAATTTAGTGTCATTCACGGTATCTCAATTTATATTTTAGCGATCCACGATAATTTAACATTATTCATCGTATAACCTAAAGTACATTAAAAAAAATTTATTATTTTGATTATTTTTAATAATTTACAAGAGGAGAGATTTAACCAGCATTAGAGCTCGTGGTGATTTAGTATCACTCACGATGTACCAAGATATTCATAGTGATTTAGTATTACTCGTGAACTTTTAAAGTTATAAGAAAGATGGGATTGAAATATAAAATATTAAGTGAGTATTGATTGTAAAAAAAAGGAAAAGGAAAAAACATGCTGGATCACAACATTGCTACATAACCTCTAATTAAAGAAGAATAAAACATTAAAATTCATCATGTGGAATAGCATCCAATACATGAACATTATGCCAAATCAAGTGAAGACAAAATAAGCACAAGAAAGATAGACTTGGCAAATACGAAATTATTTTGGACAAGAAACGAAATGCAAAAAGAAAAGCCACATAATGCCAAAAAAGAAGTCAAATTGAGATAAGAGAATTTGTTGGTCAGATGTACAATTATGACAAAATAAAAACCATCTGTGGACTTAAAAGTAAATCTAAAATGAGAAAACTAATATGAACATAAGAATAGCGTTTGAAAGATCACTCAACTTTGCACTTAACCTGATATGAACATAAAAGTCGTGTACGAAAAGGTCACTTACCTCTAAAGCTTCACCAATATATTTAGTCGTCTCTTCTTTTGAAAATTTTCTCTCGATTACCTCTCCCCTTCTCCTTTGCAACTATCTCTTTTATAGGTGCTAACTAGGGTTCTCTCACTTAATGATAGAATCAAACAAAAAAGGCAATTTTTATTTTGACTCTGTTTCATTATTTTAGGTTTCAGACTTTCCTTAATTAATTAAAAACATAATTAAGGAGATTTGGGGTAAAAAAATATTATTGTTATCATTATCACAAAAGCCCCTCCTTTTTTATTCCTTTATTCCTTTATTTTATTTATTGTGTTTTTATTAATTTTTAATTTACACTTAAAAATCCGGACAAAATACAATGTTTACAGTTGTCCCTCTTTACTTATTTCATAGGTGAGAGGAGTGAATGTATTTTTTCTAAAATTCTCACCTAAGAAGCAAGTAAAGATAAGAACACATATTTTGTCCGACTGAAAGTACAAAACCAAGACAAATTACTGTAAGTGAAAATAAGAAACCCCCTTAAGGATCGAAAGGCATTTGGACAAAATGTCATGTCCATGCCCCTCTTTACTTGGTTCTCAGGGGTAAAGGGGTGTCAGCTATTACGAGGTTTTAAAAGAGGTGCTAGCCATTATTGGGCTTTAAAAGGGGTTTCTGTCATTATTGGGTTTGAAATGTGTGTCGTCATTGCTAGGCTTCAAGGTGCTTGCCATTACAGGGCTTTAAAAGGAGTGTTTGCCATTATAGGGCTTAAAAAGGGGTGCCAGCCATTACTGGGCTTTAGGATGCCTACCGTTATAAGGCTTGAATAAGGTGCCCGCTATTATAGGGCTTTAAAAGGGTGCCAGCCGTTACAGGGCTTCAGGGTGCCTGCCATTATAAGGCTTTAAAAGGGTGTCAGTCGTTACTGGGTTTCGAGTTGCTTACTGTTACAAGGCTTTAAAAGGGTGCCAGCCATCACTGGGCTTCGAGGTGCTTGTCGTTACAGGCTTTGAAAGGGTGCCAGCCGTTACTAGGCTTCGGGGTGTCTATCGTTACAGGACTTTAAAAGGGTGCCAGTCGTTACTGGGTTTCAAAAAGGTGCCAGCTGTTACTAGACTTCGGGATGCCTGTCGTTACAGGACTTTGAAAGGGTGCCAGCCATTACTGGGCTTCAGGGTGCCTGCCGTTATAGGGCTTTAAAAGGGTGTCAACCGTTACTAGACTTCAGGTTGCTTGTCGTTACAAGGCTTTAAAAGGGTGCCAGCCGTTACTAGGCTTCAGGGTGCCTGTCGTTACAGGGCTTTAAAAGGGTGCCAGCCGTTAATAGGCTTTAAGGTGCCTATCGTTATAGGGCTTTAAAAGGGTGCCAACTGTTACTGAGCTTCAGGGTACCTGCCATTATAGGGCTTTGAAAGGGTGTTAGCTGTTAGTAGGCTTCAGGGTGCCTGTTGTTACAAGGCTTTGAAAGGGTGCCAACCGTTATTAGGCTTCGAGGTGCCTGTTATAGGGCTTTAAAAGTGGTGTTAATGATAGTGATAATGATAATGATGTTGATGAAGATAATGATGATGATATTAGTGAAGACGATGATGATCATGATAATAATGACAGTGATGGTGGTGGTAGTGGTGATAATGATATCGATAATGATGATGATGAAGATGATGGTAACAAGCGAATAAAAAATTAAAAGAGGAAAGAGAAGAAAGGAAAAAAAGGAAAAAAAGAAAAAGAAAAGAAAAAAAAAGGAAAGAAAGAAAAAGGAAAACCCGATATGCAACATTATCCTCTTTGACAAACACCTAACCAGACCTTGGCTGCTTGCATGATCGATTAAGACTTCTTTTTAGTTATACTGATCCTTATAGGTGTTACTGCTCATAATCCCCTGATATATGTTAAATCTAATTAGCCTTTCAACTTCAAAGTCTATCCTTAAGTGCAAGTACTACTGATGCACCTGAAACTGCACTGGTTAATGAGGAGTAGAGTATACCATGTGTAATACCATGAGCATTTATTGAGACAAAAAGGTGCTCCTTTGTTAATGATATGTTCTTATATAAACTGAGAGTGCCAAGTTTATCATTATATTTAAAGAAAGAGGCAACAAATAACTAACAAAGAGAGGGATTCATTTAAAAGAAAAGACCCCGATAGATCACAATGTGAACATGTGCAAAAATATCGAGAATGAAAGATTTGTAATGCTGATAGGATGTCCTTTACTCGTGATTTGTATAATCCCTTTGGGTGCCTTGCTATGTTGCTAAAGATATGCACTTTATGAGTAATGACTGAGTTATTCTAAAAGAAACATTGCTTGGATGGTCACAATAAGAGGTAATACTAGCAATTCAATAGTCTTTAGGCCTCTAATATACTCTAAATTGCCCTTTTAGGATTTCAATCTATCTTCTTAATGTTCTAACTTTTACCTAGGTTGCCCCTTTCAATTTGCAACCTAGCGAGCTCTTTCTTTCATTTTTTTTACTCTAATTTATTGCCTAGGTCGCCCTTTCAGGTTTTCAACCTAGCGAGTCTCTCTCTATTTTTTTCTCTAACTTTTGCCTAGGCCGTCCTTTTAAGTTTTCAACCTAGGGAGCTATTTTCTTTTTTCTTTTTACTCTAACTTTTGCCTAGATCACCCTTTTGGGTTTTTTGACCTTTATGTTTGCCCCAGTTTGGCAAATACCTTTTTTTAGTGTAATAAATGACATAAATATATTTGAATCCTCTCTTTTTTATTTTTTCAAAGACGAAGTTCCAATTCATTCTTAGGCTAACAACTTACCTTTTGCACGGTGTAAGGTTTAGCCACAAATGCAAGATCACCCTTGTAATGGGACGTTGTTAGACATACAAAGTATTTACTCAAAAAATGCTTGATGCATGATGCGTTGAGAATGAGATGTTCTATGTCTCTATCAAGTAGAACTTGATGCATGAGAGTAGTTTATGAAACATAGGATTACTTGTAATTGGAAAAATTTTTATTGCTTGGCTTGTTACCACAATTTAGATACAAGAAGAGCTTTTGAGCAGTAAGCACGTCTAAAATATTTAAAGATTTTTCATGACTTAGTTTAAGACATTCTTGCCTCAATATGATCCACCTAGCCTAACAATCTCTTTTTCTATTTTCATTTTTAATGCTTGCATAGCTAAAAAAACTTATGACTTCATTTAGTAATGTCAATGTCATGTATTATTTGGCACATAGCTTATAAAGGCAATGAAAGAATTAGAATATGTTTTCCATGTTAGGTTGCCTTTCTTGGATGGTAGATAGCGTGATGTGAAGTGATAAGATTGAAAAAGGTCCTCATCCTATGTTAGAAGTAGCAAAAGGTTGAAATGGAGAGTTTCCCTAAATTCAAACACTCGTAGATAAATCAAAAGAAGCTTCACAAGGCATTTGGCTAAGAAATCTCAAAAATGATTCTAATATAAGTGTAAAATGATTATGTCTCACACCTATGCTTTGTCCTTCAAGGAAACATAAAAAAAAAGGAAATAAAGGTCATAAATCCTCAAAAGGATAATCACAGAAAACAAGGCCCATGTCACTAATATAGAGGATAAACAAATATATCCATCATACACTGCTATCCAAACCATATCTCCACCTCATGTTAACTAATTCCATGGTAAAAAGCTTAACAAGAGTATAATGCTATAATGATTTCTCTCACCAGATATAGTGTTTACCCTCATCATTCAGTGTTTGGGAGATAGTGTTTGCTCTCTCTATCCAAATTATCCAATTCTTTTTCCATAAGC